TGTGTGCGCGCGCGCGCGTGTGTGTGTGTGTGTGTGTGTGTGAGTTAAGAGGTGCACATTGGCTTCATAGCCTATATTTGGTGCTATCAAAAAGTAAGACAGACAGACCGACAAACGGAATGAACAGAGAGAAAGAAAAGAAATAAGATTAATCAGTGGCACTCTCCAACCACCCAGATTCCATAATTATGTACTGACAAATGAATGTGTAAATAAAATAGCTCACTGAATTAATAATAACATTTTTTTTAAAAATCCACTTCACAAAAATATGAGAGTCAAGGCAGAATAAATATCACAGAAAAACATAATGAGCCTTGGTGAAAAATAAAAAATTCCAAACTAAACCCATTAAAGATTTTCTTAGATAGAAAATTAATTCATCCAGGTTTCTTTACAAATATATGCAAACCTGTTGTTGTTGCTGTTGTTGTTGCTGTTGTTGTTGTTGAAGGAACTGCTGCTGCAATAGAGCAGCTTGCTGTTGCTGCTGTTGCTGCTGTTGCTGAAGGAGCAAGTTGGGGTTCTGGTACACCGCTAGCTGCTGGGTCCCGGGCAAATCTGTCACAGATATACAATCTAACATAAGAAAACAAACAAACAAACATACAAACAAACAAACAATAATAAAATAAGAACAACCAACCCACACACAAGAAGAACTGTAGACCCCAACTGAAATCAAATCAACATGTATATCTTCCCACCCCCCACCTACAACACCTCAACATCAAAGCCTACAACACCACAACGCCAGAGCCCACAACACCAGAGCCCACAACACAACGTCAGAACTTATAACACTAAAACATCGGAGCCCACAACGCCACAACATTGGACAACAAAACCACACCCCTCAGCACCACAACATCAGATCCCTCAACGCCACATCCCACTACACAGCATCGGAACCCACAACACCACAACATCACAGCAAACTATGCAACATCGCCAGAGCCCAAAACACAACAACATCAGATCCCACAACACCACAACACGGATCCTACAATGCCACAACATCGCATCCCACAACCAGAGCTTTCCAGCAGCTGATGTCATTTTACGAAGATTTTCGAGTCCAGGGCAGCTCCCTGGCAGGGCGTTGAAGGGGTACTGCGTCCCCCTCACGTTTGAGATTTTTTGGTTTCAGGGCATCCTAAGTATGCTATTTCTGGCTATTCAAGCCTTAATTTAACAAGAAAATAAGTGAGAAAAAAACATACCTTGCATAGGCCTACATAATTTTCTGCTCGTGTTAATCCATATAAATCCAAAGCCATGCTTTCTCCTTTGTACTGATACTGTACATCCACAACAGTAGTATAACAGCTAGATCTATAAAACTTGACAGTTAATGTTCAACTGTTTTTTTGCACGTGTTGGTTTGCACCATAATGTGTAGAATCCTTATAATAGTATAACAGCTAGAATCTAGATTCTAGAGTTAGATCTAAATAACTCTCAACAATTTGTACAAATAAACAAGTCTGATAAAAAAATCAAGCTCTCTTCAGAGTTTTCTTTTCTTAGCGGGCCCAAGATCTATCGAACCACAACCGTCATGTCTTCCTCTTATTTACAATGCTGGTGCTCTGCTTGTGCTTTAGAAAGCGAAAGTAAAAGACACTGTCTACACTTTCAAATAAAAGAGCACTTCCCGAATGGGTTGGTTATTGTTGACTATTAGTAATTACGGACATTTTTTATTTCGCATTTTTTAAAATAATTTTTTTTACATTTTTTTTTTTTTCACTAATTTTCACTGAAATTTTTCCATTTGCGGAATTCTGTTAATTTGTGGAAATCCGCAAAATTGCGGAAGACTGGAAGCACTGCACAACACAACATCACAACATCGGATCCCACAACACTCCAACATCGGATTTCACAACGCCACACCCCACAACACCACAACATTGAATCCAACAACACCACATCCCACAACACAACATTGGATTCCACAACACCACAACATCAGATCCCATAACAACACAACATGGATCCCACAATGACACAACGTCAGAGCCCACACCAAAATATCAAGACTACAACACCACAACAACGTCAAATGCTACAATGCCACACCATCAAAGCCCACACCACCACAACATAGGAGCCTACAACACCCCAACATCAAAGCCTGCAACATCGCAACATCAGATCCCAAAACACCACAACATGGATCCTACAACACCACAACACGGATCCCACAACACCACAACATCAGATCCCACAACACACCAACATCAGATCCCACAACACACCAACATCAGATCCCACAACACACCAACATCAGATCCAACAACACCACAACATCAGATCCCACAACACACCAACATCAGATCCAACAACACCACAACATCAGATCCCACAGCACACCAACATCAGATCCAACAACACCACATCCCACAACACCACAACATCTGATCTCAAAATGACACAACGTCAGAACCCACACCAAAATATCAAAGTCTACAACACTCCAACATTCGGATCCCACAACACCACAACATCAGATCCCACAAGGACACAACGTCAGAGCCCACACCAAAATATCAAAGCCTACAACACCAAATTATCAAAGCCTACAACACCAAAATATCAAAGCCTACAACACCAAATTATCAAAGCCTACAACACCAAAATATCAAAGCCTACAACACCACAACAACGTCAAACCCTACATTGCCACACCATCAGAGCCCACACCACCAAAACATAGGAGCTACAAAACCCCAACATCAAAGCCTACAAAGCCAAGCCCACAACACCCCAACATCAAAGCCTACAATGCCAAGCCCACAACACCCCAACATCAGAGCCTACAACACAACAGCAGAATCCATTGCATTAAAACATCAGAGCCCACAACGCAACGTCAGACTTCACAACACTAAAACATCGGAACCCACAACACCACTATCATCAAACAACAAGGGAACTTACTCTGCAGGAAGGCAGGCTGTTGCTGCGGCTGTTGCATCATGGCGGGGTTACCTCCCATCATCATCATGGTGGGATCACCCGCAACCCCAGGCTGTGACATCATTGGTTGTGACATCATAGGTTGTGACATCATAGCCTGACCGCCCCCAACCTCCGCTTGGGAAGGGACGGGCTGGCCTGATACAACTGCTGCCTTGGGGGGGAGGGCTGGTTTTGTTGCTGCTGCAGCGGCAGTTTGGTCTGGATGTAGCTGAAGTTGTTGTTGCTGCCAGATACGCAAGTGGGGAATAAAAAAGGAAAAGTTTGTAAAAAAAAATTAAGCTTGATAAGATGAGATAAGATCAAAAGATATAGATGCAATAAGATAAGACAGAGAGGATGAGATGACAAGACAAAGATATGATGAGATAAAGAAAGATAAAATAAGATACATAAGATAAAATGAGAGGGATAAGATGACAAAGATAAGATGAAATAGATTGATAGCATAACATGAAATTAGATGGATAAGATAAAATGATATGGATATGATGAAACAACATGAAATAAGACAAGAGCAGAGAAGATCAAATGAAATGAGACAGATAACATGACATGTGATCATATGCAATCAGTTATATGTGTGACGGCGTGGTGGAACCAGGCGCTAGACAATTTTTGGGCACGTAGAGTTATTGGTATCATCTTAAACAGTGTTAATTTGTCTTGCTTTTGGTGCAAAAAATACTCATATTATATCTTGAATAGGAGTTGCAATATTTGCGATTGAAGGAGGTGGGGGTCGCCTGGTTTCAGAGGTAACATAGGGGGGGGGGAAATGGCTGCAAAAGTTTCATGATTTCCAAAACTTGAGAGTCCTTGGAAACTGTACATTTGTGAAACTTAAATCAACGTTTTTCCGTACAATCCACACAGAAATGTGTTTTTTAATTAATCTTAAAGGCCTTGAGTCAAAACAAAACAAAACAAAAATTTCAAAATACCAATCGGGCAGAAAAATGCCAGTTTCTACGACTTTATTATTTTGACAAGTGCCAGATTTCACCACGATGCCTCACATTTGTAACATTTTAATAGAACAAGAAATGCAGGTCACAA